CATGCATAACTCAAAACTGTCTTTCAGTCAGATAAGATTCTAAAAGTGCGCACCAGGTGTGTGGTAGTTGTTCTCGTAGTTTTATTAGTAGTCCTTTATGCCAAACCTTATCAAAGGCTTGGGCTACGTCTAGAAATACTCCGCAGCAATATTTTTTCTCTTCCAACGCCTTGCTTATTACGTTTGTGACACGATGAACTTGATCAATAGTAGAATGTTTGTTCCGAAACCCATACTGATGATCTGGTATGAGGTGCCTTTCTTCTATAAGTGGTTTTAAACGTTTAAGAAGAAGCTTTTCAAAGAGTTTCGACATAATTGGGAGAAGTGATATTGGTCTGTATGAGGTAGCTCGTTCTGGTGGCTTACCGGGTTTCAGTAGCATAATCACTTGTGCCTTTTTCCATTGCTTAGGAAAATATTCCAGTCGTAGGATTGCATTGTATATATGTGTTAAAAGGATTATCGCTTTCTTCGGTAGCTCTTTAAGTATTCGCGTCAAGTTTGATCTCGTCAAAACCAGGTGCCTTTTTTGGGTTGATGTTGTTATCAATTTCATAGGCAACTTCTAGAGGAGTGAAAAACCGTATTTTTTCTCTTGTTTCATTGAGTAGTTGACATTGTATCATATCAAGTTCGGAAGCGATATTATTTGGTTGAAATACACTCTCAAGATGTTGAGCGTATACTTCAGCTTTATCTTTCTCACTGCGTGCCCAAGTACCGTCTACTTTACGGATAGGTGGAACATGTTCACGAGGTCTCTTAATGCGTCTTGTAGCTTTCCACAGAGAGTAATCTGTATCGTCCGTTGCAGATAAGCCACTCAGATAAGATTTGAATGTTTTGTTTTTCATTTCGTTGATTTTCTCACGTAAAATTTTACTAATTCGATTCCATTTGGTTTTATCCGCTGGATGTCGCGTTCTATGCCTGGTTCTTCTCGCCTTACGCTTTTGTTGAACTAGTTATCTTATTTCAATTGGATAAGTGGTCTCCCGATTAATCCCTTCATGAGTTATGGGTGTGGCCACTCTTCCTGCCTCAGCAACGCTATTAGTTAATTTTTGCACTACCATATCAATGTCTGATGATGTTTTTAGCTTAACTGAAAGAGTGATGGTTTCTTCAAGATCACTCCTAAAGAGATCCCAATCAGTTCTTTTGTTTGTAAGAAAGATTTTTCTTTCTTTCATTATGACATTTGAGCTTAGTGAAAGTAACACGGGAATATGATCAGAAGATAGTTCTATTAGTCCTTCAGCTTCAACATAGTTAGAGGAAATATTTTTAACTACAAAAAAGTCCAATAAATCAGTGATTTTATTCGGATCAGTTGGCCAGTTAGTTGGTTTACTCGTAGAAATTACGATTAAATAGATAGTATTGACTGTTTTAAATAGAGCACGTCCTTTCTGAGTATTAAGTCTTGATCCCCAGTAGGTATGTTTTGCGTTGTAGTCTCCGCCGACAATGAATCTGTGTCCTAGCTTTTGAAAAAAATCAATAAACTTAATTTTGTCTGCGCCTCCCTGTGGTGGGAAATAAATAGCCGTGACTGTGAGATCATTGTTGCCATCATTGATACTTACGCTTGTGCCTTGTAAGTATAGTTCTGAGTGTTTCTCAAGCTCAAAATGTTTAATAGATTCTTTTATGATTATCGCCGTACCTCCTCGAGCTTTACCGCTAGGATGGAGAGTGGTATAGATACTATAATTTCTAATTTTTAAGACAGTCCAGGCTGTAAAATGTATTTCTAATATGAGAGCAATATCAATGTTTTCATTGTGCAAGAAATCATCAAGTTCTTGTTTGCGTTGTACTAGCCCGTTGGCGTTCCATGCTATGATTCGCAGTGTGCGATTCATTTCTTTTTCTTTTTATTTTTGTTGTTAGACTTAGATTGATTACTTTCTAATCTATCTAGTCTAGATGTGACGCATTCTAATGATTTTGTTATATAATTTAAAGCAGATAATACATCTATTAACGTTGGATCGTTTTCATTAGTCTGTTGTTGTTGTTGTTGTTTAGACGTTTGGGGCGTTAAATTAATGCTGGGAGAGCTAGTCATCTGTGCATAAGATATAGCCGTTGTGACAGTTTTCGCTGGTTTTCGTTGAATACGCTGTACTGCAGAATTTTTTCTTGGGTGTGCTTTTTCTTCTGCTTGTTTGTAGGCAGAACAACCCTTCCAGGTTGCGGTATGTGCTACACTGCAGTTGGCACACTTAGCTTTTGATTTTTTCGGTTTATTGCAGTCTTCTGTTTTATGCTCTTCTCCGCATTTTACACACACGGATTTTTAGTGGCAGTAATTTTGTGTATGTCCAAAAGACTGACAGTTTTTACACTGTGGTACATCTTTTTTCTTTCTTGGTGGTTCTATTTTAATTTTATGATAACATAGACTATCTAACTTGTAAATATCTTTGTTATTTTCTTGTGAAACCAATCCACAAAAAATAGAGGTAATCTTATTCGTTTTTTTTCGCTGTTTTTGTCATTTTGGTTTAGCATTTTTATGATTTGAATGTTTGAAACATCACATGCAGAAAAACCTTTGTCAGCTAGTTCTCTTTTAATTTCACATATTTCAGTTTCCGGGTGCAATCCACGTATTACAACAGGGAATTTTTTTTCGGCTTTTAATTGATATCTATGAAACTCAATGTTGTTATTTTCAAGAACTTTTAATGTTCGTCTAAACTGGTGTTCATCCTCTGTCAGGATTTTTATGTCACCGTTAGCGAAAGTTTTCAGTTGCTGTTCATGCCCTGGGGCTTCTTCACGAGTTAAATTGGTAACTAAGTTTTGTATATCATTTACACCACATGCTGTTATTGGTGGTGGTTTATATGTTTTAGGCACTGTTTTGATGATATTATTAGCTATTTCATTGATGCGTTTATTAAGTAGGTTTGAATTAGCTTCTGAGCTGTGACCCGGTTTTTCATGTACATTTGTATTGATTAAGTTTTCATTTATGGAAGTATTATTAAAATTAATATTACTCACTGGAAGGTCCAGTAATTGACTCTGCAATTGTGCATTACTCGCTTGTAATTCAATTACAAGTTTATGTAATGTTTCATTTTCAGTTTGTATGCGAACCAGAATTGCTTGGTCAACTAAAATTTGAGCTGGCGCCGTGTGAGCATTTTCCGTCGAGCCCATTGCTGGGCGGCGGTCTAAGCCGCCACGCGCGATGACTTAAATAATTTGTGTTAGAACACTTGACACTTTTGCGTTGTAAGCAAAAACATCGTATAGATATATTTAATTTAATTAAATAAACACTTCACACAATTCGACACATGCGAGGGGAACGTACGTGTTGTTCGTTTGGCAGGCAAAACGCAACTTATCATGCATATAAGTTTTAATACATTTATCAGTTATCAAGCATATTTTTATTACATTTGCACTAGGATATGTTAAGCCACCCATATCTTTTAAAGTAACTAATGAATTTAAAAAATTTGCTTTAGTTCATATCAATACTTGAGCACAAATGTCACATTTTAATTGACTGAAAAGTTTATGAGACACAAACCCACCTATATAAATTGTAACCTCTTTAGAAATAGAGCTTAAATTAATATGAGTTGCATCTTTTTCAATAGTATATAATTCTGACTCTAATTCAATATTTTTATAAAGAGTGGCATTAGAACTATTAATTGCTTGAACTGGATTTGACGAGACACTTGAACAATTTAAAATCGGAATATCTTGAAGGGATATACAGTTACCCAGACCATTATCTTTGATTTGTTCATTCACCAGTAACTTTTTATAAGCAGCTTTAAACTATCGCGCAGTAGGATTATTATTGTTACCACCTTGAGCCCTAACACAGCCATAAAAAATTTCCAGGTGATCTTGACTAAGTTTATAGAATGGTAAATATTTTAGTTTATTTGTGTCAATTAAACTATTTTTTAGATTGATTAATGAATTTAAACTAATTAAAAAACCTAAAAACCCGGTTGATCGCTGAGACTCTAAAATCGGTTGACCTGTAATTAATTTTAATTTATTTACATACAAATAAAACTTTTGAATGAATGAAAAAATATAAGAATAATTAGTATCATTAATTGCGCCTTTGAAACCTTAGTACACTGTGTTCTCAAATTTAAAATATCAAATGCATCGTTAAATATTTGAATAAAATTTATAGTGGCAGTGTAATCTTTAAAATCATCTAATTTCAAAAAATCTTTGCACAAAGTTAAAGCTTGGGCAATTGAAGAAGAAAGTAACTGTGTTGCCAATTTCACCTTCATCTAATTTTTAAAATAAAAAACATGCTCTTTTTTAAGTTTATTGGCCAAATGCCCTTTCTCATTTTCTTGCAGCATTAATAAAAGTTCGATATACTTAAAATCAATTATGCCATTGTTGCAGTCAATTAATTGCCTTTTTTCTCCAAAAGTATTGCGTACAAGCTTCACCATGTGAGCTGGGTCAAAGATGATATTTACATTGAAATCATTGAATGCATTAAAATAAGTTTTTATTAATTGAGGTGTAGATGCTTATTTACAGCCTAGTGCTTTGGCCATGCTAACATTCACAGCACATCCATCAAATGTTAGACTTACTACAATAATCCCGGTGTCGGTTAAAACATTTAAGCAGCGACGCACTAAGTTTTTTTTCTGTTCACTATTTAAATGGTTACAGAAGAAATACCCAACTGGCAGTTTCTATGAAGCATTTATGGCCGTTACCATGAATACAAAGCATTCAGTTGCTTCACTCTTGGCATCACTATCAATTTCAAACCCATAGTCCACAAATCCATGGTACTTGCGACCATAAAACTCAAGACATTTGCGAATAGCTATTTCATCCATACTCAAAGCGCAATATATTGGATATGGACAATTTTTGCTAGCTAACGTTAAGGTGTTCAGTGCTTCTTTCGTAAAGCCAGGTTCAGCATACCACTTAGCGTGCGAGGACTTGGAAGGATGGAATTAAATTCTCTACGAACAAATGTGTACGCCTTGGGGGAATAAAAATTTAAAGTGACAGCAAATTTACTTAGCTGCATGCTGTAGAGTTTTGGCAATTTCTTTCCTGAATTTTTGTTGACAAAATTTCTGATCAAGTCTTTATGCTTACCAAAATGTGAATCTAATAAATGTGCCTGCTTTTGGTCAATCAATAACTTGGATTTTAATGTATTGATAACATCTAAAACGGAATAGAATTAATAAAATATAATATCTCTATCATTTCTAGTTACTTTTTAAAGAAACAGTTGTTTTTTTTTGTCTCCTTAAACGCTGTTTTAGTACTTTCATTTTCTTATTCTTAGCATTACACATATCAATTAGCGATGACACAGAACGTTTCAGAAAGGTTCTTCTTGGCGTATCATAACTTTCTGAAACTGACGCTTGAACCATAACATCTACCGACTGTGACATTTTTTACTATAAGTCTTAATAATTAAAAAAAATTTTACTGTTTTTTGTAATGTTTCATTACTTTTTCAGATGGTCTTTTTAGATTAAAACTATCTGATGGTGAACTCGGTTCATCACAAGGTAGGTCAGGATGTTTTCCAAAACCTTCCAATTCAATACCTTCTAGCTACATAATTATAATCATAATAATAACACCATTTATATATTATACAAATGTTTAAGAAAATAATATTTTATACTTACACAAGTAGATGTTGATGTATCAGAAATAGACACTTTCACCTCAGGAACAGTAATTTTAGCCTAAAAAGTGAAAATTTAATAAATAAATAATCATAATAATTTTAAACTATGATTAGTAGGTACTTAGTGCATGAATGTGATTTTGCCGAGCATAATTTTGATAAATAGCATTATTGAGTTCACTTACATATTTTAAACGTTTTACCACGAAAGAAGGTACGGCATCTTCTTTTAAAAGTTTACTTCTAACATAATTCTTTAAACAGTCCGAATTGAAATGTTCAGAGCATATTATGGAGGTTAGAGGCTTAATTTTTTTGGTATCAGCAACACTATCTTCAAAAAATTGTATCCACTCACTTTTACGTGGTTCATCTGCTGGTAGTCTAATATATATTACAAAAATGAAATTATTAAAATTTTCAAAATGTACCAAAAAAAATGTTTACAAGTGTTACTTACCGATGAAAGCTAACGTCTGTTTTTTTCGCAGACCATGATCGTTTACACAAAAAACAACTCGACATTGTTATAGAGCACAGAGTAAAGAATAATGTAACTGTAAAAGTGTAAAAACACACTACGTTTTACACATTTAGCAGACAAGAATTCCAATTTTGAAAATTGCCAAAATACAACAATAGTCAATAACATTAAAAAAAATTTTTAAAATGATAACTGTGTCTTATCAGTGATTAGGTTGAGGAAGGCATACAATAGTTTGGTACAATAGTTTGATGCTTTTCAATTGGTCACTCTAAACCATAGACCTTATACTTATAGACGGAACATGTAATAGTTACTCATGTTGACGATAAGCTGCGTCCCACGAAGCACCGAAGCACATCGCACATAAAGCGACGCACGATAAAAATCCACATCAATATATTGTACAAATATTGTACGATTGTTGTTATCATTCCACCTGTTGGCTGTTGTTTTATTTTTTGAACTTTTTGTCGTTTGATTTTTATATTTTAAAAAACTATTAAGAAATCTTTTCGAGTCTTTTATGAATTTACTGAATTACCTATTGAGAAACAGTTTTATAAACATTTAAAATTTAATTATACTATAGTACTATACAATATTATTTTTTATTTTTATTTTACAAACAAGGCCTCGACTACAAAGGTCATTGGTCGCACAATATAATTATTTTATTAACTTTTTAATGTACAAACATAATATAATATATCCTAGGCCCACAATTATATTTAATTACCTTTTTGTGTTTAAGTCTTGATTACATGAATACATTTTTAACTTTTTAGTACAACATTTTGTTTCTTCATTTCTATACCATTCCAGTGTTCGATACTCAGTAGGCACTAGCCTGAGTTGTTGGCAGTTCATAGAATAATACTCTAATAGTATATAGGTAGTGGAGTTTTAATTACGACGTATACGTATGGCCACCCCGTGGATCGGACGGAGTTGACTGAAATATACATCAATAATAATTTGAAAAATACGTAATATAAGATAACAATTATTAAGTGTTTATAACACAAACACACATGTCATTGTGGAATAGGAAAAATCCATGTATTAATCGGTATACGTAGATAAAAGTTATGTCAATAAATCTATAATTGTGGTGCAAAATGCGTATACGCGCAGCTGAAAGGTTGAAAATGTTTTAGATTTTTAAATATATTATACATTTTTTTTGTTTGAGTTAGGGCTTTGATAACTGTGGTCATTAGCCGGTTACTGTAGTGTAAGGTTAGATTGTTTGATATGCGTGGCTAGGATTTGACACTAAAACTTGTGTGATCATCCATCTGGAAATTAGTGACACTAGCCAGAAGCCCAGGACACGTTTGTGATTAATGCCATACCCTGCGTTAAACCAGGCCACTTTTAAATGTTTGTTTTACATTCTCTTGACGTTTTAGATAATAGATATTATAAATATATTATTTTACCTATCTGCTTATCGATATCATCATAGACATTAGTTTATATATATATATATCAAACTTTATTGGAAAATTTGATAGTTTTTATAATAGTAGGTAATAAAAATTGATGATATTATGTGTCTAGTCTACAACCAGTAAATGCGTTATACACTTTATAATATGCATTCTGTATATAATACTTGCTAAATGGATAGAGTAATATAAAGATAATCAATATTAAAACTGGATTTATATTTTATGATTCTGTTACGTATTTACTTCCTAAAGGAATTCTTAAAAAAGACGTGTTTCTTTATTTTGAACAGCCAATTTTTAACATACAATCATCAAAATCAAAATCAGTATTATTATTGTAATTTATTATTATAATAGTAATGAATTAATTAAAACCTACTTTATATTTTTTTTCACATTTACTTTTCTCACAATAGCATAGGATTTTTATTGGGTGGCTAGGGTAATAATGGTAGTTTACATTACCTAATATGAACATATACCAAAAACATTGCATATTTTTCTTTACACCAATTTTTTATAACAACCATACATATGACATATTAATGTCAACTACTATATTATTGTCATTAGATTACCGATTTAAGTGTATAAATAGATAGTTATAAGAAAAAATTATTTATCTCTTGTAAATTAAACCTTTAACAATTATTTCAATTAAAAGTAGAATTCATATTTTACTAAGTTTTAGAGGACCACAGTTAATAAACTAGAGAACCAAAATTGATGATATGACTATCAAAATTTTCTCGTGAATCTGTTAAAAAATATAGTGGTTACCATATAAAATAAAGAAACGCGTCTTTTTTCGTTTTTTTTTAAATTCTGTATAATTTATCCATAATCGTTAAAAGAAAACTTGCCTACAGTTGACATAAGATACACCCTGTAGTCTATATAATAAAATATGTTGGTCCAGATGGTATCCAGGGTGATTTCTTGTACAAACTTCGATCTGTTCTATACTCTATTCGCCGTAAGTTGACCCACTAGCTCGACGAAAACCGGTCGTAGCTGCCCAGGTCACTGCGTCTTCGGAGCGCTAGTGTTGATCGTCGCCACCGCACCTGGTGTATACGTAGTGATTTGATTATCTTAACGACGTATCGACACTCTCCTAACCTACTGTTAGCGATAATTTTCATATTCTGTTTACAATTATTTTTTATCCGAATTTTTATTTATTCATCAATATAATTCGCTATGGATAACACGAAGCTCCCGGGTTTGATGCCTTGCGGCTGCAACCGCTTATGTTAGCGCTAGTCAAGGGCCGCGGAGGATTACGAGCGCCGCTCGCCGGTCCTCCCCACCGCACTTTCGTGTCTGACGTGGCTCAAGGGTCGGCGGGACATGCGGTCGCACGTCGTCTAAGGACCCAAGCACCGGGTACACACGGAGGAATACTCCGGAGCGCCCGTACCATTGGGCTAGAGCATACAGGTGCCTTTCGCTACCCTGGTGGGGTCGCAATCTATCCACGTTGCTTTCCGTTTCTGGTTACGGACAACCTTCGCTGCATATAGCCTCAACGATAGGCTGGGTATGCGCTAAGGAGGGGCCGTGCTTTCTCGGCCGGCTGTCACCGTACGAGTCCGCCAGGCTCCGTCACTCGGCAGCTTTCCCCTGACCAAGCGTGTGGTTTTATACCACATAGTATGCTCCTGCAAACTGCCACTCCGAAACCAAACCGCCGTCGGTCGGGGCAGTGTCCACCGCGACCGACGTGTGAGGGCTCGGTGTTCATCTCTCAACACCGAGGGGCTCCCCCACATCCCGAAGCACCATTCACGCTTTCCGTTAGGTAAAGCACATCAATGGTGGGATGCGTAATTGCCTCAGCTTATGATCCTCCCGAGATTTGAGCAATTTTTTTTTAAATTATCATTACTTTTCTCTTTTCGAGCATCTCTTTTAAGAGTATCATATAAGTTTTTTAATTGTGTGTCAATGCGAATGCCTGATGTTTGTTGTAAATTGTAGAGGCAGGTTATTTCAGACCATACCTCAGCCTTTTTGTTATTCCAAATTGCATCAGTCTAACACAGAATAAATAAATAATTAAAATATAATGAACTTATAATGAAGTGTTATAAGTTATAAATTTATAATTATGAGTAATGTTATAACTACATAATTAATATTATTGTATATCTTGTTTTGAATGTATACATTTAAAGGAATATTATTAAGAACACTACTTACTTTAATATTTTCAATAATTGGCTTAAAAGGCAATATCAAGTCAATTAATAGCTCCTTTTCCCTTTCAGTAAAGTTTTTTCCTCTCATACGTTTCTGTTTTAACTGACTCTCATTCATATTATGTTCAAACATTTTTTATAATATTTAGGTAATTACAATTGCTAAAAAAACACTAAAGTTATAAAATGTGTACAAAACAACAGAACCGAAAACGACGAAGAAAGATTAAGTACAGATCTCAAGTAGACTACAAATTCACAATTTGTAGAATTTACTATTTAGCAATTATTGTTATTATACATATTCAAAATAAAAGTTCAAACAGCTGTTGATATAGTATCTAGATCATAGGATTTTATCACTTTTTCTGTGATAAACTTTAATTTCTACACTAACCTCGGTATCATGTTTAATACCAATATATTTTTATTGTACGATTTGTGCAACCCAAACGCTTCTGTAAAAATATTTAACGGCTCGTTAAAACTGTTCATTAAATAAATTTAAAGTTCGGTTTCATGCAACCCGGCATTAATGTTTTATAATTTGTATGTTATCTTATAATTAATTTAAATGAGGTGACAATATCAATCATTGCAACTTAAAAGATAATTGTATATTGTGTTTAATACACATACCTACACATATTGTGTAAATTGCGTAAAGCAAATAAAAAATTAAAAAAAGGCAGGTAAGCGGATGTCGCTCAGCTGTACAGTAGGTTACAAGTTGGCCATTGTTTAATGGATTGTATTAAACTTGAATTCAATGATAAATATCATTGTATAAGAAAAACGATTCTGAACGGAGACGGTTTGTCAGTCTGTATATTTTATATTGTCATTAATTATTTTATTTATTTTATTATTATTTTTTTTATTCGTTGCTACGGTGATAAACAAATTGTTAGAAATTAAAATCCCATTTTAAGCGGTTTTTCGTAATTTTTCAGTACTTTTTCCCGTGGCATTAAATAACTATTGAGAAAATCGAAAAATGACCTCTCTAAAGTACCATCTTGGTCCAATTGGCTAAAAGATAAGGTACTATATGTTGAAATCAAAGCACTCCTTCTGGTAGAAATTTTGTATACCGGATATAAAAAAAAAAAATAAACACCATTGTAAAACCACTAGCTTCCTTGCTCCGCTTAGAATCTAAAATAGTAAGTAGGTATGTGATTAATTATTATTATACATATATAAATTACTACTAAGTCATTGCTAAAAATATAAAGTCTTTCTGTCAATGATTGGTGTTGTCATTAAATAGTAATTTGTACTAAATTCGAGTTAAAATATTATTAACAGCATTTTAAAAATTTTAGTTTTGTTTTAAGTCTGGGGTTATTGGAAAGTTGGTTTCAATTTTTTGAATAC